TCTGGAAATTCACAAATGTGCATGCAAAACGTTCTTTTACTAACACAGAATAAGAGATAAATGACCTTGCACTCACTGGACAAATTACCATATCCTTTGCCATTCCATGTAATTGACATATCTTGGGCTGAGAAAGGGCTAATTGCAGAGTAATTACAAGGTGGTATCAAAACATTTTGAGACTAGTTTTGTAACATCCCAACAGATGGCATTACAAGGCTGCACGCAAAGCCAGAGGGAGCACCAACCTTCATAAGTAAGTGTGCCAAAAGACATCGTCTTGTGTACATTGGCAGCTGTGAAACTGCTATTTCATCATGGACAGCAAGTTAGAACAAAGAGAACATGTGGAATTCTGTGTGAAAATGGGCAAATCTGTCACAGAGATGTTTTGACTCACGACAATGAGTTGCTCGAGTTGTTTTGAGTGGTATGTTCACTTCAAGAGCGGAAGAACATCACTCGAAGATGACGAGCTGTCAGGAAGACCTTCAACGAGCTTAACTCCCAAAAATGCCCTCTTCCTGAAGATAAAGATCCATCTCAAAGGTCGCCGTTTTGACAAAAGTATGATCCAGAGATTTGCCCACTTTCACGCAAAATGTTTGCTCTTTGTTCTAACTTGCTGTCTATGATGAAATAGCAGACGTGGTAACACATGTGGTCAGAATAGCACCAGTTGCACAGCTCCCGATGTACACAGGACAATGTCTTTTTAGCACACTGACTTATGAAAGTTGGCGCTCCCTGGGACTGTGCATGCAGCCTTGTGCTGCCATCTGTTAGCGTGTTACAAAACTAGTCTTCAAACCACCTCGTATTACAATTACTGATAGGAAGTCAACTGTGTGCAGAATAAGATCTCTTTTTGGAAACAGATTTTCAAGGGTTATAAAATTATTTTCTATTACATGTAGCTGAGAATATTCTTAAAAGCACATTTAAAAATCAATTTGTATTTAGGTTTACTGTTGTGTGCTCAGAACTATGGTGGCTTTCAGTGGAGTCCACTAATGTTCATGAAAATGGAGTCTCACAAAGACTGATTCCATCCTAATGACAGCTGACTATACTGTCTGTATGATAGGAGAGGCTGGGAGGAGCGAACATGGGATATCATCCTGTCCTTTATTTCATAATCTCAACAGATTTTCCTCTAAGCAAGTGACAAAAGCTGTATTCCTTTAAAAGGGGGGCTGTGACAAGTAGAATACAGTATTTTAAAGCTAAAGTTTAATCTGCTTAGATTTTACCTTCCCTGGTTCATCCCTCTCCCTCATCCACATGCTAATTACATTTTAAAAACCTTTCCATTTTCACCTTACTTTGTCATCTCCGGGTCTCTGTGCTTCTATATGATTATGGCAACCGAGAGGGGCAGGCATGGTGCTGTACAAAAGTTATAAAACACATCACAGCATCCTGTCTCAGTTCTCCATTTAAGAGCATTGGGATGACTCTTGGAAGGAGGTATGCAAATATCAAAATGCCTTGTTGGGTGGATGTCAATCTGGAGGGTGGGTGTCCTAGGCAGACTGTATTTACATGCAGACCAACCCAGGTAATGCCCATATGTGAGGTTGGTGATGGAACGCACCCAAATCCACGGAATGAAAGGGGGGGGGGGCTAGGGACAGTTAGGCTGGGAAGGAAAAGGCTTGATTAAGAGGGGTGTCCTCCAACCAGGAAACAAGGCAGGCTACATCTGACTTGCTTTAGCTCATGGGTGTCCAACTGGCGGCCCTCCAGCTGTTGCCAAACTACAAGCCCCATGAGGCATTGCAAGATTCACAGTTACAAGCATGACTCCCAAAGACAGAGGCATGATGGGACTTGTAGTTTTGCAACAGCCGGAGGGCCACCAGTTTGACACCCCACTAATGCACATTGTAAACACCTCACAGTGTGCAGTGAAATCAGTTCAGGAGAGGTGGCTGCACTACTGTGCAGGAATGAAGGTAACGTAAGAGTTTAGTGTTCATTACAATTTTATCACAACAATGCTTGCCAGTATAATGGCAGAAGTCACATGGTTAATGGGAGGCGAAGCGTGATTGAGCAACCAAAGAGCCTAAAGGTGGCTGGTGGGGAAAAACATAAGAACACCTGCTCTGGGCAGCAAATCAAAAATGTGATTTTATTATTCAAACCATGCTTAAAGTGGTTGTAAACTCTAACATATACCCAATGAAGTGACTGGCCTCAGGTAATACACAGAGATGAAATAATCCTCCAACCTGAGTCGCACCTGTTTATCTGCAGCATCTGTCCCCTACATCCATTCAAAGTGCAGAACTTACACAGGATCTCTCAGCTCTGAAAAGCAGGGGGAGGGAAGCTAATGTTTAACTCAGTGAGTTGAGCTCTGAGAGCTAATTGGAGAGAAAGAACTCCCCCCCCCTTCACATAGCACACAGGAACAGAGCTGAGGCTGTCAATCACAGGCTGTGCCCTCCCTTGTCACCTTTTTTCTCTTGGTGTCAGGAAAGTTTGTCAGGAGTTATTTATGCAGATAGTAGAGGAACGAAGCAGCAGACAAAAATTACACTTAGTTTTGTGGATTAGGGCAAGCACACACTATACAGGGATATGCTTTGTTCACATTTCATGTCTGAGGTTTACAACCACTTGAACTGACAGAATTCCTCACAATGTTGCTTTTCTTTGTGGTGTCTTATCTAAACTCGTATAAAGTTCATGCCAGGTCATTTAAATGACAACTTGAGCTTTTTAGCTATTATGAAATATTCTCTAATATTTTTGTTATTGTTCATATTCATCCCACATCAAACTTACATTTCTATCTCATCAACCTCTAGCCAAATCTCTCAGCACTTAGTTTCAGAAAACTCGACAGAGCAAAGTGTGACACCATAATACCTGCTGCCCTTGCAGCAGAAGGAGAGGCTAATACTCTGAGTCAGGGGCGTCCCTAGGGTTGGTGTCCACCCAGTGCGATAACACTTGGTGACACCCCTTACGACAATCCCTGCAGAATGGATTGGATCTGCGGATTGAGCATAATGGATCAGATTCCGAACCATTATGCTCCCCAATCCGCAGATCTGATCCATCCTGCGGGTATCGTCGGCTTTCTTTACAACTTACGTTTTCGTGAAGCGGGTCCGGTGTCACCCCGTATAGGTTGCATGCCGACGATCCCCGCAGGATGGTTCGGATCTGCGCATTGAGCATAATGGATTGGAGTCCGATCCATTATGCTCCCCAATTCGCAGATCTGATCCATCCTGCGGGGATCATCGGCTTGTTTTACAACGTACCTTTTCGTGGAGGGGGTCTGGTGTCACCCGGTGCGGCACGCACCCCCCTGCACCTGCCTCGAGACGCCACTGCTCTGAACAATTGTTTTGTTATAACAATACCAATATTCAGGGTTTCCTGATATGATTTACCTTAAATATTTTTTTATTTCTGCAATTAATTTTTATTAATTCATTGTTCATTAGCTCCACAGTTTTCCAGTCCACAGAATCTAAGGAGGGGGGAGTGGCCATACAGTGGACCTTTATTTTTAAATTCTTCCACATGTTCCTGACAGACTTGGGCCCCCATAAAAAGTGTTTTATGGAAATGTTTTTTTTTTTTAATACTGCACTGGAGCTGATGATACGTGGCACAAATAAATGTCAATACTGCTTTCACCACAATTTTTAAAAACCCAAGATACAAGTGTTTCAGTTTTGCAAAGAATGAGAAATGTTACAACCTCTTCCAGATTTCTTGGCTTGGCCCCCACTAGGGAGACATGTGTCACTACTTAACCCCTGATGGAAGTGCAATGAACAAACAGCTTTAAAAACCTCTATCATATTTTTTGCTGTTTGTGTCACCATTGGAGAGATTTCCTCTCACTGTAAGTCATGGTGTCACTGTAAGAAGAAATTTGTCCTGGTTGACCGGTGTCACTTGGACAGAAAAAATAATGCAACTCTGAATTCATCAATACATAATTAAATGCATTTTTGAAATACATGCAAAGTACCTGAATTTGACCTGGTATTAGTCTCTTCTATAGCAGTGCTCAGACTGGGGGAGGGAGAAGCAGTCCAGAGAACCAGATAAGTATGCTGCACTGCAAGGAGCATGCTGATAATGGGAGAGAGCAGAGTGACAGAGAGATGAGCTTATTAGTTTTCTGTTTCTTCTTTCGCTATCCTGTCACAGGCTTTAAGTGACATAAATACATATTCTTAGGTGGGTAAAAGTAACTCTTCATTTGGGTATTTAGATTTTTGCCTTAAGGCTATTATAAAAGCAGATGATGGGGGGGGGGGGGGGGGGAATCAGAGGAAGGGATTCCCCTCTGTTTTGGAAGATGCACTCGATATCACATCTCCAGGACAGGAAGTGAAAGGAATTCTCTCAGCTGACAGCAATAAACACCTGTCAGACGTTGTAACCCTTCCTCATTCTATTCAGTTTTGGCTGGATTTGACCTTCTGAGACCTGCATCTAGCCATCTACCATTCTCACTAAACCTCAATATCACTTGACATTCCTCATACAAAAACACTATCTTGTGAAAGATAAAACAATGAATGTGCTGAAATATCATTGAGACCTAGCTACAAGGATGTATTACAGAAATGTCGCTATCACGGATGACAAGACGGCTACATACACCGAACTACATTAAACAACAAACCGATAAGACACCGATGAGGTATTTAGATAGCAAAGAAATGGAACTGTAAGCACAATACAGCGCAACACAGAATGGGAAGTACAGCACGTCTTTTCGAGGTCTCTTTTTTTTTTCCCCTTCTTCGGAAATGTATGTTTTAGTAGTTGTCAGCCCGAAAACAAAAAAAAAAAACTCCATTAGCTTTAGGTTATTCTGTTAATAAAAGCTCTGCGTCCTCTTTTTTTTTTTTGGTAGCATCCTGATATAGATAGAGAATTATCAACCAAAATGCTCACAGTAGGTTCACTTCACATTACATGTTAGAACTTCCTCCTCCGTCTTTATCTGGTCAAAATTACTCTACCAATTTTCTTTTGGATGGTGGGATGAGATGGCAAGGAAGATCGTTGGGAAGCTCGTGGCCTTCTAGTTTAACCTTGATGAGGTGATTGGCTAAGGCAAACTCTTCGTCATCCAGTAAGCCGTCCTTGTCTATGTCAGCCAGTTTCCAGATCTTGCCCAGCACTGTGTTTGGCAGTTTGGACTTCACCATCTCCTTCTTGGCGTTGGCCCCAGTGATCTTTCCATTGACGGGAGACAGCGTGTAGAAGATTTCATCGTACATGGGCTTGTCTCTGGATACCACCCAGTCTGCATCATCGATGCCTTCTCCTGCCCCCTCGCCATAACCGTGCCCAAATGGGCCATTCTGGGTGCCCTCAAATGCGCCTCCCTTGACCATCTGAACAGGTTTCTGAGTTTCCTCCTGTCTAACTAAGACCATCAAGTGGGCAATGTCATGTGCCAGCATCTCATCCACGGTTTCCAGAAGCTTGCTCTTCAAGGGTTGGAATTTTGTGAAGTCTTGGGATTGTAAAAGGTCCTAGGTTAAAAAAAAAAAATTAAAAATTAAAGGAGTTTAGAAGCTCACTCAACAGGTATTTAATCTGTACTTGCAATGTTTTTAAAGTAGAATGCTGGGCACAAAAAAAATAATCTTAATTAAAGGCTAAGTTTACCTTTTGGAACATGTTACATGTTCCAGCTACTGTCGCCAGTTCCACCGATTCCCCCCCCCCCCCCCTCAGTTTGACAGCAGGTGGGGGATCTTCTCCCCTCACCCGCTTTCACGTTTATAAAAGAGCACGGCCATGTGGGGCTCCAGCCACACAGCCACATCATTCATTCAGTTTCCTGTGAATTAATGAACTACAAGTACCACCATCCATCGCAGCTGATGGTTTGTAGTTCTGAATGAACTGCGTGGAGCTGATAAGTGCTCTCGTAGTTCATTTACAAACCCTGTAGCAGCCTGACATTGCACCCCTGATCCACTAATCATGGGTACAATGCTTCCCAGGCTCATGCAGGAAAAAATAAATGCAAATTTTTTTCCTGCAAAAATATGTGCATTTATTATTTTCTCTGGAAAAGTGAACTTCAATACATGTTCTTCAATGACCACAGAGGAACTAAATCCACTTTGTGTGCACCAAATACTTTGCAAATCCACATATTACTATATCAGTGGTATTATCACTGTGCAGCAATTAACTTGTACAAAGTGCAGTGCTGTGGGTGGAACCCAACAGACCACACCCACTACTGGCTTCCTGTAGAGAACTACAGAAGGGGGCAGGTACAAGACCAGTCACACTGCACAAAGAGAGAGCTCAGCAGTGGCTGGTCTTTATGACCAGGAGCTCCTGCACAGAAGCAAAGTTTCACACTGGATTACTGCACAGATCTTCCAAAGAGAATACCAATGCTGCTTGTATTTGGAAAATATTTGTTTATCCCAGAGTTCATCTTTAAATAGACAAAACATAGAGAAAGGTGCATGTATTGCAGAGATGTACTGAATATTCTTTTTTTTTTGCCCAACCCTGCATTTTAACTCTCTACATAATATTACAGCATAAAGCTTTCATGCCACAGAATAGACCAACATCTAAGCAGGCAGACCCAGGAGGATCCACATTACGAACATATTATAAATGAGGGCCGTACAAACATAAAAAGGCGAGGAAACAATCACAGATATCCCGTTACTCGTGTAAGAGCCCTCTTCTTCTAAAAAGAAAAAAAAAATGTTTTCTGCTTGAATCTTCTTCCCTCGGGAGAGAGCCAAGTTTACATCAGCGGGATCTGGAACTTATCACAGCTCCTTGACATAGTTTACTAATCTAATAAATGACAGTGTTGCCTTGGAAGAGTTGGATATTTTCCTACATAAACACAGTAAATCAGAAAGTTCACATATATATTTAGCCATTTTTATTTTTAGAAAAACTGCTATAGAATTTTTCTAAAACCATTTGATGTCTGAACAATATATTTTAAAAGGTTACTCCAATTCATGGCTTTGTAATGGCTTTCATATATTTCAGTTTTTAGTACAAGTTAAACCAGCTAACATATTTCTTATATCTCTCAAGGTTTCCACAAGTGAAATTAGAGCAAAGAATTAGGTGCAATAAACGTTAATGGCTGGACCAATAGCTATTATTTTAATTAAATCTGTAAATTTAAAAAGCTTAAAAACAACTTTTGAAATTAGAGCTGAACTCTGGGCTGGAGACAGCTACCCATGTTCCCTTGTCCACACTGTCTGCACCAACTGTCTTCTCAACTGTTTTACCCCCAGAGGAACTCTTGACCTAAGTTTCAGGTCTCAGGAAACCCCTGCTAAAACCACGATATCAAGGGTCCCCTACATTGGTGGTCAATGGAGAGAATGTCACCTTAACAGTGGTGGTCACAATGCCATCCTTACAGATAGCAAAAAGTTCATTGGTGTCATGCTACTGGCTGTCATGTTGTGCTGACCCTTGAAGTATGCAGGCACATTCAGTTGGCAGATCGATCTGCCACAGCTCAAGGAAATTTAATCTCCAAACATGGAAAGGCTTCTTCACAGTGAGAGGTGTGAAAAATGTGGAATAGACTCCCTCAAGAGTTGGTTCTGGCCAGCTCTGTGGATTGCTTTAAAAAAGGCCTGGATTCTTTCTTAGTATCCAGTTATATTCTGTGTATCTAACATTTATAGGTAAAGTTGATCCATGGAATATCCAATTGCCTTTCGGGGGATCAGAAAGGAATTTTTTCCCCTGCAGGAGCAAATTGGATCCTGCTTTGCTGGGGTTTTTTGCCTTCCTCTGGATCAACTGTGGGTAAAGGATTTTGACTTTTTTTTTTTTTTTAATGGTTGAACTGGATGGACTTATGTCTTTTTTCAGCCAGACTAACTATGTAACCTCTGGAGGAACCCTAGGGTTCCACAGAATGAAAGTCAAGAATGGCTGGTCTAGACAATAAGAAATAAAGAGAGTTACTTTATTACTCATTCCCCAGGCAGCTGGTGCTCTTTTCCTTTCTCTCTGGCACTCCCATGATGTTGGCAGACCCTTGGAGCCTTCATGTACAATGCAGGACCTCTAGTCCTGCAATGAACATGAAGACGTCAGGGAGCTGCGGCCAGTTAGGCAGAGAAGACAAGCAGCATTGGGATATTGGTCGCGTACTGTGGAGACATTCTGAGAGAATGAGGAATAAGATACAAGTTTGACTTTATTTCTATGATCCTAGACAAATTGGTCTGTCAACTCTTACAGTACAGGCAGGGGCCCATTGCAAGTATAACTTCTTCTCCAGGCTGGATTTCAGCTGCAACATGGAAAAGGTTATATGAAATGTTAGTTATTGGCTTTAGATCTTCTTTACGTACCTGGGACCCAGGATGCTAAGCAGCATGAAGGAGCAATTGAGCAGACACCTGGAGGGGGCAGCTATGTGATACCAGTGGAAGTTCTGCATGACTTCAGGTTTGCTTTAACCTAAACCAAGCCCCTAACATTAACCTAAAATCTTAGGTGAAATGGGTGCTATATCAGCGATACGTGTTACCTTATCACAACAAGAAATACTATCAATAAAATCAAAAATAGTGTTGCGCTCCACTACCAATTGCAATAATAAAAACTGTGAATAAATAAATATTAAATAATTGCATTGATATTGATATATATATATTTTATGCTAGACTATTATTTTTTAATATTTATTTATTCACACTTTTTTTTATTGCAATTGGTAGTGGAGCATGACACTATTTCTGATTTTATTCTCTATGACACAAGGGTATGAGTATGTGTAGAATGTAAGCGAACCACATATTTTCATAATTTTTACACACAATTTTATTTTCACTATTGTATTGGTTTTTGCACCATTTTTAGTATCCTTTATAATATTTAATTATTTATTAACACTCTGTATACACCATAGTAGCTCACAAGACCCCACACTTGAGAAGAAATACTATCAAGCAATATGATGCAATGAAAACTTTGGAGCCTATGAATGTGTAAGCAATTTGCACAACAGCTGCTAGCAAAAGTGTGTCTAGTTACAATTTATCAGAATAAAAAGTCCTGTGGGTGTTACGTCTTTTCGATGTTTTTATAGTTTTGGACTTCTCACTTTCTAGCACAGAAGTTTCATTCAATATACTGTATATAGGAGCATAATCACAAGACTCACTAATTACCTGTCAAGATTTTTGTTTATTTTTTGGATATAATTATCTCCTTGCACTTGTGATATATTTATTACTTTAATTTTTGTTTACCTCAGCACTTTATATTCTGATAAAGGTACAAGATGTTGCTTCACTGCAGCCAACAAAAACTGCTCTGAAAGGTTTCAAACTAGAATGATTTGGGGCACACACACACACACAGGTGCAGCGTTGTATTCATGAAACTTTGAAAGGGTTTGCATTCGCATTACGTCTACGGTACCTGCATCTTCTTCAGGTTCGGAAAGTCTCCCGGTGAGATCTGATGTTCTTTCTCAATTCGACCGTAGATCTCACCCAGACTGGCAACCAGCTCTTTCTTTTTGTTGTCCTTGCCAAATACTGCTGGCATCTCCTTCTTCAGGGAGCTGATAATATACGCATGAACCTAGAACAACAAAGCAGAGCCATAAGATTATTTTTAAAACTCAACTCCAACCAAAACTTTTTCATTAGTGTGGGATAGAGAAGGGGAATGGATAGATCATATGGTTTTTTACTGAAGTCTATGCCCCCAGTGGGGATACAGACTGCAACAAAACACTTCTTTTTGGTAAAATGGGGATAGGTTATAATTACCATATATAATTTATATATATTTATATAAAACGCCGGACGGTAGGTGGTTAAGGCCCACCGTATATATTGTATAGGAGGTAAGGGAACATATAAGCATTTACTTGGCACACTGTTTTATACATGTATGTTGTTATCATAAGCTTACAAAAGGAAAATAAAATAAAAAATGTGCATTATTCTCTTTTTTTTTCACCTATTACCAGATTCACCTATTATTTTTTAAACATTTTTTCTCGTTTGACAGCTGCAGCCTGTTGGCATCAGCTGTCAATGTGCCTCTCTCTGTGTCAGGGACTATGAAAGCTGAAGCCAACAGGTTTGTAAACAAACATCATGTGATCTTCATGTTAATGAGCGTTTCCCAATGGCTGTCAGTGACAACCCAGACTTAGAACTAGCAGATTTAACAGCTATGCTCTTCTAGGTCTACAAATATAATGCAGATTTATATTCTGTTAATATAATACAGCATAGATTAAGGTTTTTTAACATCAGGGTGTTAAAGCATCAGCAATGTAACTCACTTTTGCCAGCCGTGCCCTTTTGATCAAGTCGTTGAGTTTTCTCAGGGCTGCATTTCGTGGAAGGCTCTGAATGTCTCTGAAGAGGTCTTGCTCCTCAGCTTCAAACAGTTTGCGGTTATCGGGGATGAGAAGCGGGTGGGACCAGAATGAACCAATATAGACTCTGATCACCTCTGGGGTGTTGACAATTTTCCCTAGGGACCACATGAGGGCCCCATAGACCCTCATCAGTTGCTGGGTCTCTATCTGGTCAGCCTTGTTTAGGACTACACGCATTTTGTCTTCATGGTTCTTCAGAGCTTTAATGACTTCTGAGAATTCATCGGAAATGTCTAGCTTGTGAGCATCAAACAACAGAATGATGCGGTCCACCCTCTCCGCGAACCACTCCAACACAGCTGCAAAGTCATAGCCTGCAATGACACAGTACATTATAGTTATTAGAGGCCATTAGTATAAAGAAAAATATGGAACTACATAATGAAGTCTGTTGGGAAAAAAATCCTGCATGTTACAATATTAGAAAAAAAAAATTAAGTAACAGAAATATAGGTGGAGTTAATCTTGTGATATTAATAAATCTGAAGATTTTGTACATTATTAGAAATCTACAGTCAGATAGGGTATGTTCCATTCCCTGTTTATTTACAGTCTTCAGCTGCTGCAAATTGGCAGTTGATAGTGGTGGCACAAGTACACCTATAACTCAATAATCAGTTGTGTATATAAATATGAATTTTAGCTACTGAGTTCGGTAAACACCACAACATTTCTTTTGACAAAGCAGTTCAGAAAAGACAGGTAAACATCTGAAACTTACAGATCCACCTACTGGCTTGAGATGAAAACAAAGTAAGTAAACTTAAACATAGGTCTATCCTCAGATAAAAATGTTACCAAAAATAAAAAAGGCAGACTCAATGAACCACTTGGTCTTTTACATTTCTAACTATTCAAATGCAACATTATAATTTATCTGAGTAAAAAAGAACACAATGTAAAATAATTTTCTTAAATATTTCATAAAAATAAAGAAAATTAAAAAAAAAAAAAAAAGATTCAGAACATCTCTGAAATATATGCGCATTTCCCCATATCTTGTCTCTAATAAATTCTGCAAGTACAGAAAACTCTGTAATCTGTTTATCCCACCAGAAATTCCATTGAGCACCTAACTTCCTGTAGGAGCTCACAACACTGCTTCTACGGCACTGAAATCCCAAGCCGTGATGTCGGCCCTGGCTGAGTTCTTCCCAGCTTACAGGGTTTGTAAAGTTTATTTTTTTAAATAAACATGTAAAACTGACCTGCTCTGTGCAACATAATTGCACAGAGCAGTCCTGATCTTCCTCTTCTTGGGACCCCACCGGTGCTCCTGTCTCCTCCTCTTCTCAGTGTGCCACCATAGGAAGGGAGCACACCTGCAAACTCGATCCCAAACCATTCTGCCTGTATCCATAGACACAGACAGTGCAGCTGATCCCCCCCCCCCCCCCCCTTTGTCACACGATTTGACCGACAGCAAAGTCTGTGAGAACAGGGAGAGCAGCTATAGACAGGCACAGTACTGGATCAAAAAAGAGAGTTCAGGTAAGTATAGGGGGAGTATGGGGGGGGGGGGGTGAGGAGTAATATTACTATGTTAACATTGTTTACCTTAATGCAGGGAATGCATTAAGGTAAATGTTTAAGCTTTAGAACCACTTTAACTATAGAAAGGCTCCCCCAGGTTATGGAAGAGAGGAAAGAAAGAGGTTTTTTGATGTCAAAACCATGAGAACAGACTGGGATGACAATGCTGCTTCTCCATAAATACAGTGCAGTCAGTGTAGTCCCCTGAAGAAAAGAAATGTGGTCCTAGCAAAATCACTGGATAAAAATAAAGGAAAAATAGCCTGAAAAAAAAGAAACTAAACACATCTAATAAATGGTAAGCGGCAATATAATACATTTTTGTTCATGGGTTTAGAAACACTTTAAGGGTCTAGTTTGACCTGATTGAAAACAACAAAAACACTAAGTAGACACCTGACCATCCCACCTACATGACCTTCCTGAACACATTCCAAAACCAATGGCATTAAAATGGAACTGGTTCCCTCTTTGTGGCTATAACAGTCTCCACTCCATCACATTCTGGGAAGGCTTTCCACAAGAATTTGGAGTGTGTCTGTGGGAATTTGTGCTCAGTCAGCCAAAACACAGCATTTAAGAAAATATGTGGCTTACAATCACAGTTTCACCATTTAATTTCAAAAGGTATTCCAAAATTGAGCTCTTAGTATTCCCTTCAGCCTGTGCCCCCTCCCCTGACTTCTCCATCAAGATCAATAACACAATCATCAGTCCCTCCCCTCATGCCAGGGTACTAGGTGTAATCCTAGACTCCCATCTGTCCTTTCACCCCCAAATCCAATCGCTGTCCAAATCTTGTAGACTTGACCTCCGCAATATCTCCAAGATACGCTCGTTCCTAACCTCAGAAACCACTAAGCAACGTAATCACTCCCTTGTTATCTCTCGCCTTGACTATTGTAACTCCCTCCTCATTGGCCTACCTCATCGCAGGCTATCCCCTCTTCAGTCTATCATGAATGCTGCTGCCAGACTCATCCACCTTACTAACCGTTCTGTATCTGCCACCCCTCTCTGCCAATCCCTCCACTGGCTTCTCACTGCCCAACGGATAAAATTCAAAACATTAACAATAACATATAAAGCCATTTATAACTCTGCCCCAAATTACATCACCAATCTTGTCTCCAAATATCACCCAAACCGTACTCTCCGGTCCTTGCACAACCTCCTGCTCTCTAGCTCCCTTGTCTCCTCCTACCATGCTCATCTCCAGGACTTCTCCAGAGCTTCTCCCATCCTCTGGAACTCTCTACCCCAATTTATCAGACTATCACCTACTCTGCTCACTTTTAGGCGATCTCTGAAAACCTATCTCTTCAGGGAAGCCTATCCTACCCTCAGCTAATAATGGAATCTTCTACTCCTCCTACCAGTCCATCCCCTACAGTTACTACCTTTTGTACCACTAGCTCCTCCCTCTTAGATTGTAAGCTCCAAGGAGCAGGGCCCACCTAGCCCTCTTGTATTGAACTGTATTGTTGCTGTATTGTCTCCCATTATATTATAAAATGCTGAGAAACCTGTTGGCGCTATATAAATCCTGTATAATAATAATATTCAGTAGGCTTGAGGTCAGGGTTCCATGCAGGCCACTCCACACCAAACTGGTTAAACCATGTCTTTATGGTGCTGGCTTTGTGCAAAGAGGCATAGTTGGAACAGAAAAGGTCCTCTCATAAACTGTTGCCACAAGGTTGAAAGCACACAATTGTCCAAACGTTCTTTATATGCTGGTGCATTACCAGTTCCTTTCACTGGATATATCAGATCTTATCTTAATAGTTCTTAGAAGGGACATTAATTTCCTGACATACAGTTGACCTTTTTGATAAACATGCAAAAAGCAACATCAAAAATTAATTTTAAATAAATATTATATTATCACTTCAGAATATGACTGTACTTAATTGCATTTAGATTTCCCTTTAAATCATTGCCCTAGTAGCTGTAAAAGTGCTGGATCTAGGCCAAGCTGGAACCAATCTGCTTATTCCCAAGGTATATGAGAGAAGAAGATTCATCATCTACAGAAATATGATGACTTGCTGATGAATGATGATCTCTTTAGCAGTGTCGGGCAATGATGTTCACATTTTTCAGCATGAAATGTCATTTTTAGGTTTATTTTCCAAGGAAGGTTGGTCACTTGCTGTCGATACAGGAAACTGTATTGTTCTCACAAGGTTTATTTGTGTCTGTTATTACCGCCTTGGTGAGTGTAATTACTGGTTGGGGGGTCCCAGAACAAGATACTATCACAGTGTTTTAACACATCTAGTCAACACATAGATCCTTCTCCCTTTTCCTTGCCCAATCCACCTCTCAAATTGGCTAAATTAAGATCTGTTGTGCATATTAGCAACATAAGTCATTTAGTTCCCTATCTGAATACACTTTCGGGAATAACTAAAGCTCGCTACATCGATATGTTTACTTATATTTCACTCTGATTATATGCTTTTTTTAAGGTTTACTGAAGACTTTTTCAGTGTTTGAGTGTTTTAAAGACAATATATGGCAAAATGTTTGTGGACACCTGAAAATCTGTTTCTAAAATTATGGGCATTAATGTCATCGCCGTAAGCCCCTGTACAGACGTCCTTTCGGACGAAACATGTAAGCCGGAGTTATTGTGGTGATGCTTGCCAGAGTGATTGATGGATGCTTTATGATATGCTCTGTATTGCTTTCAACATGTGAGTAGATACCTGGTTTTAATAAATGGTTGTTTATCATACTGCACTATTGGCAATTCTACTTCCTCTTTTTTATGATGTTAATGACTGTCTGGCTACTTGGTTGCCCTCAGCGGGACTGGACCAGAATTGAGCAAGCTGAAGACCAGCTGTACCGAAAAGCTCATCGTCCACCATACATCCATTTGTTTAGGTTTTCTACCATAAGTGCTGGTAGACCTCCTAACTTATGAGGTCTAACCTTCTGGTAAGCAGCGGTGTGGATATTTGGTGGCTGGTGCACAGTGGAGGGGTATTGAAAAAAAGATCCTTACACAACCCTCAGTTTGCACTTTTTTCTTTTTGGTGAACCACATCATGTTATTAATTATTTGACTAATTAATTCAGGAACACTTAGTCATGTGTTGGACTTCTATCTGCTGAACTCATCTGATAAATTTTTTTAGCACATGTTGGTTTTAGGTATTCTTATGTGCATTCATTTAGAAGTGCTGTGGTTTATTTTATATATATATTTATAATAAATCTTCATCATTCATTAGTTATTCATTTAAGTACGTATTACTTGACAGAGCTTAATGTTTTGTGTATTTGTGGCTAAACAGCCTCCACTATTCTGGGAAGGCTTTCCATAAGATTTTGAAGTGTGGAATTGTATCCATTCAGTCAAAACAGCATTTGTGAAGTCAGGCTGTGATCTTGAATGAGAAGGTCTGATTTGAAATCAGAGTTCTAATTAATTTCCAAAGGTGTTCTGTAATGTTGAGGTCAGGGCTCTGTGAAGGCCACTTGAGTTCCTCCTCCCAAAACTCATCAAACCATGTTTATGGAGCTGGCTTTGTGCACAGGGGCACAGTCATATTGGTACAACAATGGGCCTTTCCAAAACTGTTGTCCCAAGGTTGGAAGAGGTACAACTGTCTATAACAACTATGTATGCAGTAGGTATTTAACAGTGCCCTTCCCTGGAAACGTGAACTCAAAATCTTTTGTAGTAGTATGTGTCCACATTCTTCTGGCCATATAGTAGGTGTGATGCTCAAGTGTCCACAAACTTTTTACCATGCAATGTAAATCTTCCCACCCCAGCATGATTC